ACCTGAATACAATAAAGACATTATCAAACCGACCTTCTTGCACGAGATAGTGGATAGTTTTGCTTTCTAGTTGAAGTACAGTTAATACTCTACTATCAGAGTGATTTTGATAGATAGCATGAACCTTCTTACCCGGCTCTTATCCATGTCGCATCCTGAACCAGACTTCAACAAAGCCATGCAGTCAGTACTTATAGATAAAACCGTAATATATAACATTGCTTGTCATTTACAGTGAAGGCGCCAAAATTATCCAAGACAGTACAACTTCAAGAACATAATGAAACCGTTGTAACGATCACTTCAATAATGTGACATACCAATATTAGCGTGTGTGTGTGTGTGTGTGTGCGCTGTATATGAAGTAAGTTAGTTAACGCGCATGGTATATCATAACAACGCAAGGATAACAGTCAACTTCATCACTAAAAAAACAGTAGCGACATTCAGATAAATACTGTCTAAAATCAAACATAATCTGAACTTAAATGTAATATAAATTTATGTAGTTATCCTATGGAAACGAACCCTCAAAATTATAACACGGTTACAAGTTATACGATCTATAAAGATCTTTTAACTATGCGATCTATCAACTCAAACCCATACCGTACCCACCGTCTTCAAGAGTTGATGTAAGCGATTAGGTCGGTATGGGATATTAGTCAAAATCGATTGATGTGATATGAACTGTCGCAATAACTCACTGAAACACACGGATCACAATTCGCTAGTGACATACATTGTAGATGTATACCAAAACGATTCATTCGAATTGCTTGCTGGAATCTCTAGTGAAACGGGTCATTAAAGACTAAGCCACAGCACTCGCTAACTCTATAATATTGTTACAAACCAGGGGTTTTGCTTTTCCGAGCGGTGTCAAACCCTGGCGCGATCCCAATAGAAGTCATAAGTTCTCTCTAATTCCAAAGATTTTCAAACAACTTCTGTTATAAATTAGAAAGCGGCAAAGTGCATTTTTACATTGACCCTTTAATCGCATTCTCAACACATAAAAACAACCAATTCGAATGAAGCGTTTTGGTATACATCTACAACGTATGTCACTAGCTACTTGTGGTATAATGTGAGTTTTACTCTGATCAATACAAGATCACAGATCTCACAACTTTCCATTTGACTAACAACCGCAAATCTGCGCGGTTTCTCGTCATCAACTCTCCGTGCCGTCAGCTTTTCACGCCGTAAAACTATACAACTTCCGCTAACACATGGAACTGGTTTTTTTTTTCTAAGCCATTTTAGGCCAGTCAACTCACGGTTTGGTTCCGCCTTTCTCCTAAAAAATTACATCATATTTGCCACTATTACGACATAAACGGTACCTACAAACGACAGAACAGTCCCTTCTTTTTTTCTCCATTGTGTAATTTACCAGTCTCCAATTATAAATAATCAACCAGGAGTCGCACCACCAATGTATACCCTTAGATTTTAATAGGGGCTAATGAACGACACTATGAACTCTGACCTTGAGTCATCAAACATAAACAATGGCATTCATATAAACTCACTAGCACTTCACTCAGTGACGTTTGCTTCTAGCAACTAATTATTTCGGGCTAAGTTATATTTCTACAGGACCCAGTTCCCATAATTAAACAAGTAAACACAAAAATCGGCAAAGCGGTTTCCTTAAAACGGGGTGCTATTACCAAATGCGCATACTCCCAATTTTTTGCAATATGTTTCATTACGCTTTGCTGTGCTATGTTCTACTATATATTATTCAACTAGATATAATATTATATAATATATACTTTGTCATAAATATAATCATACATATATAAATGCCTACAAACTCACATCAACACAAAAAACCAACCACATGTAACTGAATGTAATTATATATATATATATATATATATATATATATATATATATATATATATATATATATATATATATATATATATATATAAACAGTCATATTTTGCATTATATTAACCAGTGTTACCAGTTCTAATCTGAGAGCAACTGTGGATGTCTTTTATCCTTTAACCTCAAGGACGACAAAAAATAATGGATATTAAAAAAGTTTTAAAAGCCTTACATTGCGTAACTGCGGCAGTATCCCGCCAAAGCATCCCGGAATGCGACCGTTTATCAAAAGTTCAAGCACAGAGGTGAAACATCTGATCGCTACATTGGCATATGCTATCTCAAGCCTGTTATCTTGGTCATGCGCTGTCTGTGTGAGGGTTATATTTATACTAGGTATATTTAATAATGTCAACGCATTGTGCTACGATTTTGTTATACCACAATTTTAAAGATGTTCATAATATGCACGAAAAAATCTCAAATTTTTTTGTCACTCGGGGGGTCAACTGATGGTATTCGGGATCTTCCCGTCTCTTTAGATGCATTTTGCAAGCCTGACGGAACGTCAGCAGGTGGAGTTTTCTTCAATTCTTAGTGGATGATTGGGTTATTATCTCTGACATAAAGGGTACCAAATAGTTGTCATGGGTTTATCAATGCAAATCCGTTATCTCATAATTTCAAGGGCAAGATTAAGAATGTACGACTGCCTTAAGTGTCTTGACATTAATATGTTTGCATAAGAAACTACACTTTATGGCCGGCCGTGTTTGTGAAGTACTACTATCTACTGGTAGCAAAAATGGTTATTAGTACATGACCAGATAGAGGAAATTAAAATCAACTTAATAAATGATGTGGTGCATACTGGTACACTAGGCTACTCACCGCTATAAACAATTGTATGTTACTCCAGTCCCATCCCACCACTTCCCAGCGTTATCGTTTATTTGTTATTTGGAAGTTAACTCATCGCTTATAATAAGTATAATATCGTGCTGCTTGTGTTGTTTAAGCAGTGGTTTTTGCTGTTCCGACCTTACCTTCCCCCTCTCCATCCCCGCCAACAAGATTCTCTGCATACATCTTTTGCAAAAGGGTAGTTAAAGTCTGATAACTGTATTTGCTCAGTTTAATTTTGTTTTCAGCGTCATATTTACCCCCATTACTAACGCCATTTCAACAGCTCTGATAGTAACACATGTAACTAAAAGTAAAAGATATAAGTGGTGACGAAGAACGTGCTTACGTAGCACAATGAATTAAGTTGGTATTTGCTTGCTTGCATGATCTTTAGTGTTGTTAAAGTCAGTGCTTATAAAAAAAAGGTATAAGCCATTTAATTTTGTGGGCAGGGGCAAGGAGTAACGGGGTTTAGTAATTTGTTTCTAAATTTCGGGTCTCCTGTTTTCTGGGATAAAGCAATAATTTAATTCTGATTCCCTTTCCATGTCTGCCAAATGCCCCGTATTAGCGGTGAATAACAATCCTGATAAGCTGCGAAAATTATGTGGACCGGTAAATGTCAAAGGTCCCCCTAACACGAATCCTTGTCAGAGACTGTCATATCTACTTACAATGAATACGCCTTGATTTTAATCACATGGAGGCCATTATAGCTACCATCCTCAAATATCAGAGGGAACAGGTATTTATACTGTATTTATAATTATGGTACAATTTTCTATAGATAAATGAAATGGCGGTTTACGAAGAAAGCAGACACCAGCTAAGTCTCTTTTAAAGGCACATTCGCTGTTCATAGAGAAGAGACGTGTGCAATCAATATTTCCCCTATTAATGTTGTATGTTAAATAACAACGTGTTTATCAGTTTGGCTTTGTCCCTTGTTTTGATTTATTTTCATAGATAGTATAAGGAAAGGGTCTCAAACACGCGACACGTTGTCTCCATGCGGACTGTAAAGCCGTGTTATTTTTTGGCGGTCAGCATTAAGAGGTTAGTGTTAGGGCTGCAGACATTTTAGCGATATGACTGAAACATTGTTAAAGCTGCGTTAAAAATCCGAATCACACACACGCACACACACACACACACACACACACACACACACACACACACACACACACACACATGGTGTATAGTAAATTGTGCATGTTGTGAATTTCTGAAGCCTTTTGTTTCCAGGATTACTTCTGTTTCAAGCAACCGTGTCATATAATGACTATGAAACAGAGGAAACACACACACACACACATAGTTCTGTCAGACTTCTTTAATACCATGTAGTTGAATTTTGTGAGTGTCAAAACAAGAAAGGTGGATGCATGTTGGAGCGACTAAAACTATCATATACTTAAAAACTAAAGAAATTGACGTCAGTTCACGTACCGCGAAACTTACAAAATGCATACCAACATGCTGGACTTTTCTCAAATACTTTCATATACAAAGTGCAACCCCCCAGTGACAAATAAATGAGTGATACATCTATGATAATGTAAGCATTTTTTTAAAATCTGTGTTTTAAAAAAGTCACAATTATAAAGCAATAGCATAAATGGTATATCTCCGAAACCTGATGGAACTACGTTGAATTATGCATTCTGCTACCATGAGCATGTATATTGGCCACAGGTCTGGAAAAAAAAATTGAACCGAGAAAATGTTTGTTAAAATGGTTAATGTTACGGCATGGCGTTGACAAGGCAATTGGTGTTACCTTCAAACTGTAATGATTGTTTTGTTTCTGTGGGCTTAAGGATATTTTGTAACACATGATGCATGGCGACAACCTATTTTCGTGGAGAAAGAACCCGGGAAAACGCCAGGAAAGACGACTTGTTAGGAGATAAACAGTGACTTGGCCCAATGGACAGAGGTGGAATGTGTGAGTCATCTGTGCAGGCGAGCGTCTTAAATCAAACCGCACTGAATACATTCCTACAAGTGTGATGTGAATTGGATTTTTAACGTAGGTTGAAAACATTTTCAGTTATATCGCTACGATGTCTGCATTGTGGCAGTTTATAGTGATGTCTAGCACTGGGGCATCATGCCTCAGACATGTAGCATGATGTCCCACCCAGTCACATTACCCTGACACCAGGCTGACCAGTCCTAACACTAAACTCTTAATGCTGAGCGCCAAGCGAGGCAGCTGTTAGTACCATTTTTGTAAGTCTTTGGTACGACTCAGCCGGGAATAGAACCCGCGACCTCCCGCTTCCGAGGCGGACGCTCTAACCACCAGGTCACCGTAGCGGTCTCTTACAAGAAGTAGGACCAGAAGATAAATCTCGTAGACATTTCGCGTAAGCAGGGGCGCCCACAGAAATTTTGTGGGTGGTGGTGGTGGTCGGGCAAACATGTAGCTGTCAGAAAGCTTTACGAATGTAGGCCATAGCACATTAAGAGGTATCATGGGAAAGGGAGCATTTCGGTCGCCCATGCGCGTGACTTTTCCAAAACTACTGATTATGTCACCAGTCGGTTGTGATTGACCAGAGCATTCAAGAAAAAGTATCTGTGATTTTTTTCAACGTAGCTTTAACAATATTTGTCATGGCTGTACGATGTCAGCACTGTGTGTGTAGCAGTTTATAGTGATGTCTTGCAATGATGCATCATACTGCATACAAGTAGGATGATGTCCCACCCAGTCACATTATCATGACACAAGGTCGACCAGTTCTAAAAATAACCTTTTAACACTGAGCAACAATCGAAGCAGTTGCTAGTACCATTTTTATCAGTCTTTGGTATGATTTGGCTGGGTTCGGCGGACACCTCAAACCAATTAGGCTGCCTGAGCGGTCATGAAGGACGGAAGGAACTAAGTAACTAAGTATGCAAGCTTGTATGCATGCATGTATGTGTGCTTGTATGTATGTATGTATGTATGTATGTATGTATGTATGTATGTATGTATGTATGTATGTATGTATGTATGTATGTATGTATGTATGTATGTATGTATGTATGTATGTATGTATGTATAAAGAATACAAATCATATGGCGAATAACAACCCTTTCAAGCGCACTGGATCCACCAAGGGATCACGTGTGTCAGGGATTGATTAAACTAGATGCAATAAACTGACGACGAACAGTGAGAAACTAGTAACTAACTTGCCTGAGCTCTTTCAACTCTTTATGAGTCTTTTTCTGGTTGTATTTATAGTTTTACCTCATGTAGAGACAGCCATGTAGAGGTTTACAAACACCACGTTTTTGTGTTTATTTGTTTGTATTATATATGTTTTGTATTTGCCTTTGAAGAGACTCATTTTATATATATATATATATATATATATATATATATATGTATGTATGTATGTATGTATGTATGTATGTATGTATGTATGTATGTATGTATGTATGTATGTATGTGCAAAGAGTAAAGTTGTTTGTAAATCGCAACGAGTTTTTAGGTGAAAGGGTGGTAGTAAATTCTTGTATTTCTCAAAATAACACATGATATAAACAAAAGAATAAGATAAAGGAAAGAAAAAGATTAAGATAAGATAAATTAAGACAATACAAAATAATATAAATTTATTTAATGTCGGCATGGCTTAACACAACAATTTAATATCAGCTCTAAGGAGAACGTTTCCGATATTATTATTTAAAACAAACAAGGCATGGCAATAAGAACGATTAGCGAGATATCCAGTACGTCATAACACATTAATACAGAGCTGGCCAAAATACACAACGCACGATTTCAGGCACGAGCAGGATGCACATTTTAAAAGCGGTTAGTAAAATCGAATTTAGCATCAAGGACAAATTAAATTATAAAAAAAAGAATTGTCTCATACTTCTTTGGTTAAAAGGATGATGCAATTTTTAATACATATCTCAAAATAGAACATAATGAATATCTGTTGGTTTTCTTAAAAAAAATTTTTTTTATATAATTCTTCTTAATATACATAAAATATGGACAGAAACACAGCTGTTTGTTGATGAGGGCGACCATTGTGTGCCGATGTAACACCTGCTTTGGTAGCTGTCAATAACATTCGCCTCGATCGCTTTTTCTCCTTTTAAGTAAGTTGTGTTAGCCCTCGGGGTTACTTTGTTTCCCGCTTTGCTGCATTTGTAAGGCGACATAACTGGCGCTCGATAATGCAGTACCAGTCATTGATTTGCTGTCAACATATCCAAGTTGCGGCTAAATTATAATTGCAAGTGTACTCTACGGAACAAACACTAGCACGAGACAAAGCGACGGCTCTTAAAGATAACCTACAATAATAAAAAAAGATATGTGATGCAAGAAAAGAACTATAAATGACAAATTCTAAATTACTTGTTTGACCGAAAGAAATAGATGTTCTGTTGACCCCCTGTGAACTATGTTTCGATAAGTTAGCAAAGGTAGAAATGAGTAACAACAAAATTTGAATGTTAAAAGATCGATATCTAAAAATGAAGCTAATGTTTCGGCAATTCTTTTCTATTTGTTATATACTGCTTTGACAATAAGATTGCCTATGTTTATTTCACTTCATATTGTTGGTTTTTATATTCCCTGTGTATAGCTAGCCATGGGTCGGGGAAATATCCCACAGACTACGTATAATTTTTTCCCCACATGTCTTATTAACTATATAAAGCTTTCAAGCAACTAACTATGAATTATTAAAACGGAATGGAGCGGACCGCTCCTTACCCCAGTCAAAAAAAAAAGAAAGAAACAATTATGTTAAAATGAGGGAACGCCCTTCCCCCAATCAAAACAAAGAAATAATTATGTTAAAATAAGAAGAAAAATGAAGAAAGCAATATATGGGGAAAGGTGGCATTGCTGCTCTTACAGCCACAAACACTTAAAGAATATATATATATATATATATATATATATATATATATATATATATATATATATATATATATATATATATATATATATATATATATACACGTTGAGACTGTTTTAAAAGAAACAACAATATGAAAAGTACCTAAAGTTTCATAAATTTTCTGTCGTTTCGAGAAGTATCGAGTAATCCGAATGATGTTTTAATGTTACAACTACAGTAAAGAAGAATCACAATGAATCAATTCCAATAGTTCTTTAAATGACTTCAAAATAATTATATCACAGTTATTAAATATCTAAATGTTTCGTTTTGTTTTTTTTTAAATGAATGTTCGAGCACTGTAGTTCCAACGAATAATAATTAATAAATGAATCCTTGAAGATATCCTGCCTAGTCTTACTAAGAATACCCAATTCTACTTAAATAATTATCTTGTATTATTTTGCTAAAATGCAATACAGATAGCGTTGCATATCAACAATCTCAATTGTAAACAAGGTTTCATAGGTTGTAATAACCAATCAGAATTAGGTTATCCTTGCTCGTCAGTCTTGAAGTTGATTCAGGTAACCATGTTTACATCAATCAGAGTTCATTTCAACCACGGAACTTTATAAATGAATCCAAGCATTTAATAATAGAATGACCTCTTCTTTAAACTGCAAAATTACGATCCATATGATAATTAGTATTTGAAAAATTATTAAGTAAATTAACCATTCAAACTATAATCGTGAAAATAATAATCTCAGGGGTATAGAATTATGATAGGCTCTGACACAGTGAATGAGCTTTCGAAAATATTGATTTTCGACAACAGAATCGTTGTTAGTCGTAGATCGAAGATTAGGCTTAGTATTTGATGATCTTAGTTCAGTTAGGTTTGAGATATAATCTGGAGAAAAAGAGCTCAAAAGGCTTAAATGTCTGGATTCTTTTAAACTAAAGAATGGAGTCGCTCACCAGATATTAAATACTTTTGAGAGAGTGACGTATGTAAGGTGAAGTTGCTTGCATTTGAAACCCGCATATAGAGAGAACATTGGCTCTATGCTACTTTGATGAAATGTGGATATTGTACTTGTGGAAATTGTACATGATCTATGTGCACTGCTAACTAAAATCACTGCTACTTAGTGCTCCAAAAATCTGTCTGAAGTAGTCTAAAGTACACTATCTTTAGGAATTTTAAAATAGGGAAATAAGTTTTGCCTGACAGAACATTGCCACTTTTGAATGCGCATTGAACGAGTATATAAAATGTAAAAAGTTATCGGTTCCTTTTTTACAATTTAGCTCTAAGTTCATTAAGTAAAAATAAGGAGCTTGTAGTTTTTGAAAGATGCACATCTGAAGTAAGGCCAAACTGTTTACAATATAACCCATACATCACCCAACAATCATACAACAAAGTAAAGTAAATTAAAGGTTCTTTGAACAATACCTAAGAGATACCCTGTCTTTTTTAAATAGCCAGTATACCAGTGAAAAAACACGGGGAAAGTCTTTTTTTAAAAAAAAAAAAATTTCTACGAAACTGTAGAGCGCTAATAACACGTTTATGTATAGGTAACCATTGTAGATCTGAAAACAAAACGTTTGAGGAAATCGTAGTAAGAAGTTTTAAAGTTATTCGGGACACACGATTCTGGATTTGATCAATTCTGGAGAGGTTATAATTGGATGTATTTCCCCGTATGGTATAGTCATAGTATATCTGTATTCGTATATATCCCGTAAAAAAGCTCAAGTAATTGGGGGGGGGTAAATTTGTCGACATTAATTTTAAGAGAGTTTTTCTTTTGACTACCATTGGACGTACGTAATAAATACGTGTATTCTGGCAAAGATCTTGATTAATGTATGTACATGTATATACCAAAAAGTTTTTGTTTATAACACTTGATAAGTTTAAGCCATTTGGAGTTAGAAATAAATCCATATTGGTAGATATGTGATGCCTTGTTCCGATTGTCACACATTTCGTTTTAATCAGGCTGGCATTTTAAAGAGAATATGGTTGCAAAAGTAGACGAAGAGGCAAGTTTTAGAGATAAATACATCTTCAAAACATCATGAGAAACAATATACACTAACAAGCTTAATTGCCTTTGCAACAAGCAAGCAAGCAAACTCTTATACAAATCACAAAGCATGAAAATAATGTACATAAACATACAGTAATAAAACAATGGTATTTGGACCCCAATTTGATGTTAAATATATTTTCATATTTAGTATAAATTTAGTACATAAACTGTTTTTAATGCTATAAAATATTATACTCCATTTTTAAAAGAATTCTCCACACCAGTTTTATACTTAACTGTTAAAAAAATGAGGTTATATGTATTTGATTGTTGCTGCTCTTTATGAATTATGTAAATGAAAAAATATAGAAACTATTTATTTTGAACAAAGTTTGGGCTGGCC